AGAACAAAGTTGCTCATTTCATGTAGGCCAGAAAGCAGGGTTAGGGGAAGATAATGGGGAACAAGATACATCCCATCTCATAATAACCAATTCAGCTATGAACTCCTAAACTGGGCAATCAAGGAAATGGCTAACCCACTGAATTTTTATCATATTCCATAGGCCAGGAGAAAGCCACAGATTCAGCAGTTATTACGGTGTTGAGATTATGCATGGATATGTCAGTCACACTCTGCCCTTTGGCCTCAAAGGGATTAGTTTCTGTCCTAAAGGCAAAAGTCAGAGTCTTCTTTTTTGGATGTTTTGCTTTCTATGGTTTCAGTTACCTATAGTCAATCTCTGACATTAAATGGCACATTTCATGCACGAATAATTCATGATCTCCAAGTGGCATGATGTATTGTGTTGAGAAGTGTGACAAAAATCCCTGTGCCATCTAATCTCATCCCAGCTGGGATGTGACTCATCTGTTTTTCAAGTGTTTCGTTGTACAAGTATTTTCTGCCTGTTGGTCTATTGTTACGTTGGCTGTCGTGGTACCACAGTGCTCATAATCATATGACCCTTCTTTTACTTAAATGGCACCAAGCCCAACAGTAGAGATGGAAGCAATATCATTACAGAGTATTGTTACGGTTATTGTGTTTTATTAGTAATTGATTTGTTAATTTTCTTTTGTGCGAATTCATAAATTAAACTTTAAGTCCGTGTTTACACAAAAAACCCCCATAATATATGTAGAGGTCAGTATTATCTATACTTTCAGATGACCACTGGAAATTATAAGTGTATTCCATATGAATAAAAGGGGACTGGTATAAACTGATTCCATATCATGATTCCTAAATTTCCATTATATAACCTCTTCAAATCTCTTTCTATATTTCGTCTTCAACAGGGTTGTTTTTATGCTTTGTGCCATTGGTGACACTGTTACAGACAAATGTGTACAGACCTGGGTTTCCTTAGCCACTCACGGGGACAACTTTGGCATATTATGAATTCACCTCTAAACATACACATATTGAAGTGCACTGGTAGCCTTGCAAGGAGAGGAGTTTATTCCACTCAGCATCTGAAAAGTTACTCCTCATTTCTCTTTTTGATTCCTCAGTTCTAGTCCAGATGTCTTATGCTTGAAAACCTCTGTGATTGCTGTTCCTTCCACTCCATCTGTCTCCTATCACTGATTTCTCTCTTCTCTTCTCTCCTGTTTCCAGCCCTTTTTCAGTCTCCTCCTTACATTTTGGTTCTCCATTCCAGATTTCTTTATTGATATTTCAGTTTATTCTCTTCCACAGTTTGTGACCCCACTTTTAATACTCATTCAGCAAAATCAAAGATTCTCCCCAGTACCCATTGTTCTTGGTACTCAGAGTTTGCAAATGCCCACCAAAGAACTATTTTCTCTTTTTAGGATAATATCTTTCTCATCTTTCTCCCTTGCTGCCAAATACTAGATTCACATATTACTGAATGAATTGATGAGCAGCATGAAAATTTATCTGTGTAATTTAATCCTCCTAAGTCTACACTTTGGCTTTACCTGTTTTTCCTTTAGCCTGAAGTGACACATTTTTAATGTAAAATAACCAGTTGACATATCACTGGTACCTTGGAATCGGGCTGGGGAAGAACTTGCCGAAGTATTCGCTCTGATGCTTGAATCCTCCACTTCACCATCCTCATTTGTGTCTCCTGTGGCAGACAAGTCAACATTTCCCTCCACAGGGCTTAGGGCAGAGTATGTAAAAATGTGGAAAACCCCACTGTGGTGGGAATAGTGCTATTCACCTTGGCCATGTTGTAGAAAGGTGATTCCTTCCAGTCTGAGAGATCATGTGAGACCATTTGACAAGGGGCAATGAGAAGCCAGTAGGAAGTGATGCATAGCATCACCTGAAAGAGCTTGAGCAGTCATTTATGATACTCCATATTTGATTTTCCATGTTCAAGAAGCATGTGTGAAGAACAATTCATTATCAGCCTTCAACTTGGAGAAACTCAAACTTTCTATACCGTTTCTCCCCAGTGCTACATTAGACATATAGAGTGAGTGAGAAATATATGCTTGCATTCCACACTGAGCTAGGGGAATAGCACTCTTGTTATTCTGACTGATACCGCCACTAAAATTGGCTTTGCCAGGGTGAATACTTATCTGCTAAGTAATTTGATAGACTCACATTTTCAAATCTTCTGAGGCATATATAAATATATAGGAGAGAGTATTTTCCAACATGTTCCTGGCTGACCTGAGAGCTTTGTTTACAAAGAATAAATTTGCTTTGGGATTTCTTTCTTTCTTTCTTCTTTCTTTCTTTTTTTTTCTTTTTCTCATACTGTCCTTTCTCAGAAAGTACTGACTATAGAGACCTGTGAGTGTGATTTCTGGACACAGGATGAGCTTTGTGGAAAGAGAACAGCAAAGAACCAGTTCTGGTCCCCTCCTTCATACAGATGTGATTTCTGTTTCTGTCTATTCAACAGCCTTTCAAATAAAAAGCCTTAGCTCTCCACTGTATATACTGACCCAGCCTTCTTTGTAAGTTAGAAATATGCTTGGAGGTACTGCACTTGAGTACTAAATGATAGATATTTTCCTTATAAAGAATGCCCTTCATCAAAGCTTTGGGTAGTTGCTTGTGTTGAGGTACCTGGTTGAAGGCTTATAATCTGTGGTGCCCATTGAAGCTTCCATATGGAGAACAGCAGAGCCCACTCTGAAACTGATAGAAGTGATAATGAGAAGCTAAACTCTGAAACCCTGTGTATTACTCTCTCAGTTATTCCAGTGGCCAGAAGAAGTATAATAGTTATTCTATTTGGTAATCTGGTTGTTAGTCTTTAGAAAAAAAAATAAAGGCGGAAGTTACAAATAACACCTTCTCCAGTGGCCACGTATAAGCAAATTATTAACAATCCATGCAGTCTGTTAGGTATGTTTTTTTCTTCTGTCCACTACAGAATTAAACCTTAGAGATGCTTGTTATTGGAGAAAGGGAAACTATAAACAAACACATACTTGCAGACATCAGCAAGCAACTGTACTTTTTATTCCTTTAAAGAAATATCCCAGAGAAATTAATCTTACTAAGATATAATTACCATATTGAAAAATTGAAACATTGTTAGCATTATTATCATTATTGTTTTGAGACAGGCTCTTATGTTGTAGCCCAGGTTGCTTTCACAGCTGAGATCCTTCTGCCTCATCCTCCTCAGGGCTGGGATTATAGTTACATGCCGCCACAGCTGGCTTGAAATATCTTCGTAAAGTGGGTTTTAAAATGTTTTATAAACACCATTTGTTCATTTAAATGAGTATGTTAAATACCTGTTATGTAGAGAGTACTTTGAAAGAACTCGGAAAATAATGACTGAATGAGTCGATTCAGCTTCATTAAGATATTTACGTAATCTGGGGACTGCAGATAAGTAAATCAGATGCCGCGACTATGAGTTTGCTCAGAATGTTTGCTCAACATTCTGCTAGAAAGAAATGTAAGCACTCAACCCAGACAGATGCATCAGAGGTGGTGCTTCCTCACCTGAATTTTAAACAGAGCAATTAGGACATATGTAAACAGGAAGGAGGAGGTATGGAAAGCTCTACAAGTGAGTGACAATGTGGTGGATTGCAAACCTTTCATGGCAGAGTGAACATTCGAGATAGAGAGTTATGGGAGGCATGCTGGAACAGGCGGTGATAGGTTTGAGGGCTTTATTGGATACCCAAATAAAAATGGGGCCATAAACTTATGCATCCAGTTTAGATGCATATATAACATATGTGCATGCACATATATTGAGTTCCACAGAGAGTTTTCATATGCATATACACGTGTTTACACAATAATCATATAGAACCAGGATAACATCATTTAAATAATGAGTACATAACTGTCATCAGAGAAGCTTCACCCAGCAACTGATGGAAACACAGGAAGAGACCCACAGCCAATCATTGAACAGAGCTTGGGGAATCCTGTGGAAGAGGAAGAGGGAGAATTGAAAGAGCCAGAGTGGTCAGGACACCACAAGAAAATCCACAAGGAATCAACTAATCTGGGGGAGTAGGGGCTCACAGAGACTGAACTGCTGACCAGAGAGCATGCATGGAACGGATGTAGGCCCTTTGCACATATGTAACAGTTGTGCAGCTGAGTCTTCATGTGGGAAGACTCCATTGCTTCCCTTTGGATCCCTCTCCCCTAACTGGCCTGCCTCCTGTAGCCTCAAAAGAAGACACACCTAGTCTTATTGCAACTTGATATGGCAAGATGGGTTGATACCCATGGGGGGGGCTTCCCTTTTCTGAGGACAAGGGGAGAAGAAGTGGATGGGGGAAGGCAGGAGATGTGAAGGAGGACCTGGGAGGAGAGGAGGAGGAGAAGCTGTAAGCAGGATGTAAATTAAGTTAATTAATTAGTTAATATAATAATAATAATAATAATAATAAATAATGAATGCCAATTAAAACAAATAAAAGGAGCAGTTGAACCTGGAGAGCTGAGCTGTTAAAGACTGAGGACGTGATTCTTTTTGTTAAGTCAGTTTTTAAATTTAGACAAACCCTTTGTTACTATTTGAATATATCCCTCAAAAGTTCATGGTTTGGAAACCCAATTCTTGAGCTCATGTGACTGGTCTTTGGAGATGAGGTCTTTGGGAGGTAGTTAGGATTTTGAGGATAGGGTATCCATGACTGTATGGGTGCATTATGAGAAGAGAAGGGAGGTTTGAGCCAGTGCAGCTGCTTTTCTAGCTCAGTGATGCCCTCTGTAATTGTTACTATAGCTACAGCATGCAGCATGAAGCCTTCATCTGTATCTGAGCAGCTGCTGGTCATTCTCTTGGACTTTATAGTCTACAGAAAAAATAAACTTCTATTTTATATAAGTCATCCAGTACATAGCATTCAAATATAGTAACAAAAAACAACCAAGGCATCATTCTATTGAAAACAGTGTGAAATACTAATAACAAAGAACACTACCCCTGCCCCAAGAAGCATAGCAGGTGTGGATGCTGTGTCACATGTGTGTCAGTAGGTAGCAGAGAGGAGAAAGGCTATGCCTGTGCTCAGTATTCTGAACTATGAACATCTGAGTGATTTGCAGCCTAACATTTCCTGAAAAAACAAGCCTGAGATGACCACCAGTCTGATGACAGGCTGGGTCAGTAGCAAGCTGGAGACTAAATGAACTCCATCTGGGACAGCCGGATCCAGGTGGGAGTGAGCCCGAGACAAATGACCCTTGCAAGAGGCCTCTCGGCAAGCAGGGTGAGGACTGGTGCCATTGGTCTGGACAGGGACCTGGCTGGAGATGACCACCAGTCTGGCACCAGAATGCACAAGCAGAGCAGAGCACTCCTGAAACCACTCTTGAGATGGCCCTAGACACTCACAGATCCTGGGTTCCACTAAGAGGAGCAAGTAAGTGGAGGAGAAATGGAAGCGAAAGAAACAGGGATATTGGCACAATGAAGAGAGGCAGAACTAGATACTTAGGGGTAGAGAGAAAAGCCTTATGTGAGTAGCCTATGATGCCACCTGGGACCATGGTGGAGTCCTGGCTTATGCTGCCAGGGGACCATGTCTGGGTCTGTGGCCCAGTAACCATGGTAACCAGGGGTCTGTTACCATCAAAAGCTAGACAGACATCCCTGCTCTGGGCTTCTGTCCCAGGACAGAGGTTTGTGCAAATCTGGCCCCACCTCTCTCATGGGCATCATGGGGCATGAGAGCAGGATAGCTGACCCCAACCCTAGCCTGCTGCAGCACTCCGAAAAGCAGCCCATGCACATTGAGGGAGTTGTGGTTGAGCTGATCCTGAGGATATGGGCATGGTTGAGCTGGCTCTACCACCGTTTCCAGTATGGTGGCATAGATGAGGGAAAAATACCTTTCTTCTCCCTTGCCCCTCACCACCTGCAGGAGGTGGGAGACCTAACCCTGGGGTCATGAGAACAGGAGAGCAGTGCCTGCCCCTCACCTGCTGCAGCTCTTGGGAGAGCAGTCCTTGCACCTCTCATAGGCAGTGCAGTAAAGCTGATCCTGGTGGTGGGGGTATGGGCAAGCTGGCCCGCGGGCGTTAGTGTGGGGGAGTTGTTTCTGCCACTAGTCTATTGTGAAGTGGCTTGGGTGAGGGATAAATGCCTCCTCCTTTTGCCCCTTGCCCCCTACAACAGGCGACAGAGTGATCCCTGGAGTCGTCAGGGCAGGAGAACTGTCCCTGCCCCTCACCTGCTGCAGCAGTCAGAAGAAAGGTCCTGCACTTAACTTGGGCAGCACAGTAGAGCTGGCCCTGAATGTAGGGGTTGCAGGTGAGCTGGCCCCAAGGGCATGAGAGCAGGAGAGCTGACCCTTCCTATTGTCTACTGGGTGGTGGTGTGGATGAAAAAGAGATACCCTACTCTCTACTCTCGTCCCTCGTCCCTTGCCATCTATGGAAGGCTTGAGATCTGGCCCTGGGAGAACTGGCCATTTCCCTCACAGGCTGCAACACGCGGGAGAGCAGGCCCTGCACCTTGCCCGGGCAGCAGGGTAGAGCTGGCCCTGATTGAGGGGGTTGCTGGTGAGCCACCTAAGGACCTGAGAGAGGGGGAGCTGATGAGCTGACCAGCTCATATACCTGTCAGGCCCAGATTCGGGGCTTTGAATTGGCCCAGCCCAAAATCTACCCCACTGATGAACTGCTGAAGGGCATGAAAGGACCAAGTCCTACAGATCTGAAACAACAGAATCTCCGTGACACAGGGTTACAACAAAATATCTGAGAGGAGTCTCAGTGAGGTTACAGTATTGAGAGAATAGCAGAAGCCAGAGGCCTCGTGCGAGACCAATGAATGACTCATTGCAATGAACATTTGCAAGTAAAGAAGTGTGGACAAAATGGTGTGCTGTGGGACACGCTGTGACACACTACAGCTTCCACAAGGGGATTTTTTTTCTTTTGTGGGGGGAGGTTGCTAGGGTGGAGGTGCATAGGAGGGGAGGTGGAGATTAGTAGGATTGGGGTACATGAAGTGAAATTCAAAAGAACCAAAAAAAAATTTTTTTTTTTAAAGCATTGCCAATTTGGTAGATTGAAGCCTTCCTCACCGTGAGGAAGAAGGCTTGAACTTAGAAAGGTAAGAAGTTTATTATCATTTGGCCATGATGCTTTAGACTTGTGATGGTATTATGGGTGAGGGCATGGCAGAGAAAGCCTCAGGAAACAGAAAGGAAGAACAGGAAGTCAAAGCCAGAGTTTCACTGTTACCCTAAGGGAGCATGCTCACCATGATTTAACACATTCTACTGATCTTACCTCCTAAAGGTTCCATCACTTTCCAATAATTACATAGTTACGCACCTATTTCAGATACAAACTATAACCAAGGGAATCTCTACAGGGGACAGAGAAATGGGAAATCCCAAAAAGAGATACAGGATTTAAAAATATATATTTAAAAATGGAATAACAAAAACATTTCTGTTTTTGATTTTTATATATATCATAAAAACTTGCAAATAAACACATCTAACACACACACCCAAATTAGCAGGACAAGAAGTCTACACCTACATTAACTTCCATATATTTAGATTAGGCACTTGGGACAGAAGCAGTGGAGCATCACATTAAATTTTATGTTTTTAGTGTTGAAGATATTCTATGCATGTATCTACCAACAAAACCAAAAGGTCTATGCTAGAGTTAGAAAAAGAAAAACAATTACATCTATGTTTTCTTCTATAAATCACATGTGTCGCGCGCGGCCTTTGCCGATAAGGACGACGCAACAACCGAGGATTTCTTCAGCGGCAAGTTTATTGTACAGCTCTTTCTTGCAGATGGTGAAGGACCCAGACCCTGGGTTGTGCTCTGCTTAAATAGCCAGCAGAGAGGCGTGTTCATCTGTAATTGGTGCTCCACACAATACCCAATTAACATGTGATCTCCCATTGGAGGATCACACAATTCTACATTAGCATAAGGCGGTGCATGCGCAAATCGCGAAGCAATGCTGACAAGAAGCGCGAAAATGCTGGCAAGAAGAACCAGGAAGCAGGAAGCCGGCGCCATCTTGTAATGGCGGGAGCGGCTCCCGACACACATGTATTGCTAAAACTTGTGAATAGAAAGGGGGAAATTGGCAATTCAGGATACAGAAGGAATGATTGCCTGTAAGATGTCCTTGAGTCAGCCAGACTGTGAAAGCATGAGGTTGAGAGATGGCTGAGGACAATGTATCCATAGTAACAGGTGAGGCAGATTGGTAAACACAGGGGAAGAATACTATGGAAACTCTATTTGTTTTAATGTTTTGTCGGAGAATAAAAATAAGCTGATAGGAGGTCAAAGATGTGAAGGTTTGCCGTGGTAAGAAAGAGCATAAAATGCCTCGGTGGATGATCGTGATGGGGTAGAGAAATGCGGTAGGTTCACTCTAGATCAGAATCTGAACTCAAGTCAGGTTGATTGTGTGTTTTTCTCCAGAACTGGTGAGCTGTGTGGGTGCAGGTAGAGTATGTACAGAATCAGATTTAATGTAGGATTGTTTTTTGTCAGGTGAATAGTGTGAGAGAGAGGTACAAAGATGGACTGTGCAAGGGAGGGAAGAAAGGAAGGAGTATAAGTTGAATAAGCACACAAGCAAACAAACAAGCAATCAAGAGAAGTCATATGGGGTTAGGCACAGTGGAGTGGGTCAGGGGACTGAAATTCCTAGCAGGGATTCTGAGACTTGAGGTTCTGTGACTTTATTGGATAAATCACCCCTCTGTGTGTGTGTGTCTCTCTCTCTGTCTCTGTCTCCTCTCTTTTTCTCTTTTCAGCATTCAAATACTGAGGCCTCTGATAACAGGGATGATACTTGCCACGGCCTGCTATAATTTCCTACAAGGTCTGCTTCTCCACCTCTGCCCCAAGTCTCCAGTTCTCATTTCCAGTGCTTGTTCACCAGTCTTCTGCTCTGCTGTTCTACCTGTTTCCCTTGATCAGCCCAGACAAGCTCATACCCATGAGCCTTTGCATTTGATGCTTGCTCTTTCAGGAACAACTTTCTTCTGCACAGCAGCATGGTTCAATATTGTGCTCCTAAGGTACCTTCTGTGCCTGGCCACCATTATTAAAAGCAGATGACTTTCCCAAAATTTCTTAACCCTCTTTCTGACTTTATTTTCCCCTAAAGCACCTATGATACATTAATTATATAAAGTATAATCAGACCATATACTCTAACTTACACACTATAACTGTAAAATTCTTTTATACACTGCTTAAGAGAAATATACCTCAGATCCCAAGACATTAAAAATGTAGGATATTAAAATAAGTATATGCTATTAACTGTAAGCATTGTAAGCATCATATAAATATAAATAACATTTACAGTAAGTCCCACTTGTTAACACTGACCTTGATAAATAGGAATATGAATAATTTTAATATATTAACAGAATTAAGTATTTTGAAAACCATTTTGAGGACTCTTGTATGTTGAGCAATACCTGGCATATAATGGTTTAAAGAGAGAGGATGTAGGTCATGTGAGACTTTAAAGGTTATTCCTGGTTCCTGGGCAAGTCCCTTCCTTCCTCTCTGCTTCCTGTCTGCCATGCGGCAAACCACCTTGCCAATTCTAGCCCAGAAACAATGGAGTCGAGTGACCAAGGACTGAGATCTCTAAAACTGTGAGCCAGAAAAAAAAAAAAATCCTGTTCTGTAAACTGTTTGTCTCAGGTGATTTGTTACAGCTACAAAAATTCTGAATGTAAGAGTAGGATTTGAGAGAGTGAAAAGTGGCTGTTTCACTTGACACAGGTGAGCTCACTGAGTGTGGGGGGGTGCTCTAATGCTGTGGGTGTTCCGACTGCAGTTCTCAGGGAAGAGACAGTAAGTTAGTTTAGGACATGCAGCAGAGAGAAAGGAGGATATTTACCCCATTGCCAGGCTCAGTGGTAGGAAACATGGCTGTGAGATCAACAGCCCTGGAGGGTCACAGGGGAAGTATGTTTTTGAGGAGTAAAAGTCTCAATAAAGCATGAAAGTAAAAGAAATTCTCCAGGAAGATTATTAAAATAGAGACTTTTTATTTTCCTGACATCTTGTGCATGCGACTCTATGGTCCTTAAACAATA